CGCAGATGGCTTTCGAATAATGCTGAACTCCCGCAACCCAAAGCTAAATTATATAGTTTGAACACCTTAAATGGATTGAGAAGGACTAAATCTAGAAAATTCAGTCGACGGCTAAGCAAGTTGTAGCATAAAACGTAAAATTTTGCCATCACTTCAATAGATTTGTGAGTTCAAGAAATCTCGTGAAGGAAAGCATTCATCTCTACGTCAGATATCGACCATTTACTCCGAATGTATCAATTGTTTCGACGTAAGAATTATAGATGATATTCTTCTAACATCATTTTTAACTTTTCCAGACATTAAATGATTAATATATTATTTACATATCAAGTAACAGCGTCAGAAACCGCCAGAAGCCGTCAAAGTGATCATTTGCGGCCTTTTTCGTTTCAAGCCATTTTTAAGCACAATTTTGATTATATTCTTGACTCCTATATATTTGATTGAATAGAAGGGACATTAATTCCCATATATCAAAGCAAAAACATGCAATGATTTCCCTTTTATGGCTCCAAAGAGGGCCGCGAATCGGAACAAAGTTGGGATTTTTGCTCAATTATCGAAAATGCGGTACGATTTTTTCGATTGAATTTTTCATACAAGAATTTCTGTGCAAACTGGTATCTATGGCCTAAGATAGTAGGCCCATGGTATTGAAAGTTTAATACAATAAAAGTTTTGGGTCGTCCGATATCATATCGTGGAAAATTTTGTTGATATCTCTTAAAACCACCAATTATGAGCATTTTTGAGGTTTGTCAACAAAATGGCTCGTAAAACGACGTCTGAATTAAATATCTTTATACATTCAGGTTAATTTCAATGCTTAAGGGATACCGTAAAGTAACTCCAATATGGATTTGATTTTTCTAATAATTATGTCTTTGAAATGTAAGCGCGAAACCGTCACAAAAAAATTATTTTTCTTCTGATTTTGAAAAAATCAAAAGTAGATTGGTTCAAGACGCTGTAACTCGCAAACTGATCATCCGATTTGGCTCAAATTTTGACTGAGTTCTAGTTAAGGATGGTTTTATCTAAAACTAATGTGTACTTGGCAGTATTTTCGTTATTTCTGTATCAGGCCAATGACTTTTCAGCCCATGTAGTATGTTAGTGTCTTTTTGGGAAATATTCGGTTCTGTGTATAGACGCTGAAATACACAATCTTACCTTCTGCATGTGTAATTTAACTTCCAGCCATTTCCCAAATGTATCCGACAATGTCAGTTTACGACTTTGTAAACAGAGCATTGCTTCATACGGTATCTTCAGAATATAAATGACTTCCTTCAATACTCGCCATGAATTTAGCAGCAATGGAAATTCGCGGTATTTTCTCTTCATTCCTGCTACCATCGCAATGTGCTCGATAATTTGCTGCGAATTCGCCAATTCATACAACTAAATCGAACGAAAAAATCAAATTATGATTTATGTTTCAACGCCAAGAAAATAAGAAAAAAAAACGAATTACGTTTTGAACTTTTCCAATCGAAAAATTGGTAAAAAAATCGGAATGCGAAAAAAAATTATCTTTCAATACTTACCATAACGTAAGTTGAGCCCCATCGAGTCTCAACGTCCAGTTTGGGCTTCTTCAATTGAATGCCAGATCCTTCAAGTAGATACTTGGTTGACTCCAACCTAAGGATCTTAGCAACTCGTCGGCACAGCAATATTATGTTCTTCGTTTCTTGAGGCATATTGTTCAGCGCATCTTTCACTACTAATTGCAGGGTATGCGCAGCACACCTGATGGCACTTAGGTCAAATGACTGGTGACCATGTTCGACTGAAATTTGTGGCATTATTTGACCCAACACGTTAGAATTATTTGACCCAACACGTTGTTCACTTTCGACATCATTTTTCGGATCAATTTCGCACTCTTCGAAAATCATATCTATTGCGTCATCGTCGCTCGGATCTTCTGTTGTCAATATGGCACTTATTTCACGATTGATTACATCTCTCGGTTGCGATCGATTGTACAGGTTTGCTACTTCAAAATCAAGTCTAACGGCTACCTTTTTGCGAGGCGGCTCTTCGGTGGCGGCTATCTGTTCAAGACGAATCATTTTTTGAACGTCTTTGCCATTATCAGCTCAAATGCTTACAACTTGGGTTCACTCGATGTTGTAACGATTCAAGCATTTTCGATAGGTTTCGAGCAAATTGTCGCTAGTGTGCGCTTTGTCCATAACAACCATTCCAATGTTGTGGATATTAATATTGGCATTTTTTACAAACTGCAAGTCGATTTCAAAAACTGATCGGCCAAGACGAGACGCCATATCGATTTGAATTGACACTGGGCTTCCTTTGATGTTCCTTTTAATTTTTTCTCGCACCAAGTCGGCTGCACGGTGCAAGTATTCATGAACAGCTGGCTGGTATTTACTCTTCAAGTCTAGTGGATGGCCAGCTCGCTCGAATTCTTCCAACTGTTTGGCTACAATTTCCTGAAAACCGAAATCCGTCAGACACGCGAACGGTCGCCCACCTAAAGCAATGATGGACACGCAATTTTGGAGAAGTTTCAAACGTCTTATTTGAATTGGTTCGTCGACATCATCATCAATATTGTCCAAGTAAAATTGTCGATGTTTGTAATAAAGATGTGACGCCAAATTTGAGGGATTTGATCCTACGTTTGGCACACAACTTTTCGCACAAATAAAAGTGTTTTTTAACTCCATTCTCCTCTCGAATGCCAGCATCATCGAAGAAAGTAAGTGCTTTCTTACCCGAAATCCGGTTATTTTTCAAATGGATGAGAATGAGAACGTCGAATTCAGTTTGACATTTGTCGAATGGTGAGTAGAATGTGAGAAAAATGTTGCATACACATTAAACGCAGCTAATTATAACGCTGCGTGGTGCGAATATTTCACTATAAAGGAGAGATGAACGTCAGTGCACAAGCTATCGGTTTCGCTTTACCGCTAGACGCAACCAATAGCAATATTGGTTTCGGTTCATTTTTTGATATTTAAATTACCAACGGCTGTCAAAAATCAAACAACGACAACAGTCGAATATACAATACACAGTTTGAATAAACATCGATCGGTTTCTTTTTTCCGCGAGAATTGCATAACTATTTTGCAAAATGTTAGTCGTCGTTTACCTAATTGACGCCAAGAAAAATATAATTATTCCACAGGATTGGATTTTAGCATTGGATCAAGAGACATTGAATAATGTTGGTAAGGCTTCGTATCAAAATCGACGAATTTTTTGGTCAAATCATGGGCTCAGTGATGATGGTACCCGATGAGTCGATTGCACCAAATTTCTATTTGCCATTATCAAAA